TCCACAGGCCAACAACAGCTTCAACAAAACTATTTCCCTCAAAGAACAAACCAAACATGCCCTGTTGTCGTGAGAGAGAAAGTGCAGAAGGAAACATCCATTAAACTCAGTGTGCTGCTCTGTGATGCTAGTTCAAGCCAGATACTTAGCACCTCATCTTGGGTGCAAGGTCATCAATGTTTGGGCTCAGGCTCTGAGCTGAGGAGACCCTCAGGATTGAGTGAAGGTGTGCATGCAATATACCGGCGGGCCAGATCTAATAGTAATCAAAAATTATCCTGCGGGCTGAAATTGAATCCACCAAGAGCCAGATTTGGCCCCCGGGGCCTTGAGTTTGATACATGTGTGCTAGATGTTCCCAGGGAAGAAATGAAATATGGGCCCCCCTTTTTATTTATGTAGTCTACTATTTCACCTCCTTTTGTCTTTGCATTGGGGACACCGACCTTCATTTTTTAAATGATTGTATACAGTAAGTTAGTTTATGGTCAATGATGTGTGTACATATATAATTTTAATACACATTTCTTTTGCCTCTTCTATTTAATATGTAAGTGTACTTGTTGCTCTTTGCTGATGTTACACTGTGAATGTTCCCACTGTCGGATGGATAAAAGAAAACACACATTTATGCAACATTTAGGCACAATATGAACAAAAACAGTTGGTTTAAAACAAAGGGAAATCGCTTCTGCACAAGGCCTGATTACATTATATTGGTATGTTCTGCTTTGGTGAGGCCAATTCTCAATATAGCAAACTTCATGTTACCAAAGGACAAAATGTAATATCTCTTGAAGGTGTCAGACCCCAGGACAGTTTCCCTCCAATTGGGAATAACGTCTTGCACAATATGAACTACTCCCACCTGCCCTCAGACATTCAGGTGTTTATTGCATGCACTTAAATCTATATAATGTATTGTTGATCAGAAAATCAATAGCACAATTTCAGCGAATTACTACGCATCACTGGATGGGTTCATTATGCATTTTTTATGAAAAACTCTTCCCCTCTGAGGAGATTTTAAAGTGACATGATGTTATGTAGAAAAGTGTTGCTGTAAAATGTCTGCTTGGAGACTTATTAAAATCTCAACTTTGTACCCTCTGATACATCCACATTCTTAGTGTAGAATTAGAATTAGAGTTTCATTTCTTATCTTGGTAATAATCCATGTCCATGTAGCTGAACTGTAAACTAGCGGACACATGACATTTTACTTTGAGTTCAAAGGAAAATGGGTCTGAGAGTTTCGCTCCTAAAAGCAGAACATCTCCTGGCCTAATTGGGCAGGATGGCTCAGCCAGATATTGAGTTGGCATTTTGCCGCAGAATTCCCAAAGCTCCCCGATGATGAGCCTTCGTTTATCAACGTCTCCTTGCTTTTGCTGAGTAGTTTGTTTTTGCCCTTCGCACAATATATCACCTGTCACGTCTAATGGGACCCAGCACGGAGAACACAGAGCCCCAGCAGGTCCCATGGGTTCCTCTTTGTTTCCATTGCCACCATTGTCATAGATAACTCCTCAGATATAACTGCAGCCCTGCTCTACACTGTAGAGCCTTCTTTGTTCTGGTATTAAATCAAATAGTGGCTTTCTGTAACAAACCGGACACGTCAGGTCCTATTAAAGAGCTTCTGGTTGAAATTGGATGATAACAATGAACTTGTGCAATACAGTTTCAAGTGTGTTCCCCAATACATAAAATAATAAGTGTTTCTGGCTCAAAAGGACATTAAATTAGCTTAAGTTGCTAAGTGTGTATCATTTTAATAATGTAATTGTTGTTTTAATTACCTCTGCCAATGTTTATTTTTGGTTTTGATTTCCTGGCAGATGGAGAAAGTTACTAGCCAGATTTTCCTGATATTTGGAGGAAGGAAGTATCAAATAACCCTTTCACTATGGAAGGGATCCGAAGTGTGGATGCACGATTTATTTGTTACTTTCATTACCATGGGTCATAGCCTTGGAGGATGTCTATGCACTCTGAGTGTCTTTGTATCTACCAACGTATTAGTGTATATTTTTGTAGGATTATTACTACAATGATTATTCCCCAATGTACAGTATAGCATTTTGTTGCCCTTTTTATGGTTTAGAAACCTGTCAAATCCTTAACTCTTCCAGATGTATTGGACTGATTTCCACACACTGTTAAAGTAACATTGAACAACTAAATGAGCAACATAGCTTCATCACTTAGGACCATTCACAACTCCTCCCTTTTAGGCAACCATTGTAGACAACCTACCAATTAATGTATATCTGAGAGTCTTAGTTACTTCGGAACATTTAGTTAAATGTAGTTAGTTTGATCTGCTTGACATGAAATATATTTGCTCTAAGGATTGAGGGTTAAACAAAAATAACTGGCTTGTTTGACTAAAGTTTTACTAGACTGATTTATTCCTGTGTGTGTACTGGAGTGCTCATAGATCCCGGAAGTTGCTGCCACAGCCAAGACACACAGAATAAAGCCAGATAAAATAAGAGAAAGACGTTTCGGTTGTGCCTTTCAAAGTAAAACCTTAACAGACCATTTAGAGTAAAAAACCTGTACAATAATTAATTAGAAATAGCAATTTAATCTACTTTTTTTCTGCTAGAATTTCCCTGCAAAAATAAATACTGTACATAATATTTAATTGTAATTATCCTCAACATTTGTAACAAAAAGGGCACATCTTGAATTTTATTTTGAAACTCAAATAATCCCTTTCCGGTTTTTGTCCCTTGTATTTCTTTGTGACTTTACGCGGCTGTAAGTGGGATAAATGAAGTTCGTTTGCCACAGCTGGCGATGGCGGATGTTGTTGAAAAAGAAAGCATGAAGAATTACCAGATAGCTTCTGAGAAAATAAACCCAGAGGCCGGTCGCTTCCCTTACTGTGTAGTGTGGACACCCATCCCCGTGTTGTCGTGAGTTACCGCCGTAAACAGTGCGTGAAAGTCGGCTTCTAGACTCAGAAACCTCCGGAGGAAGTGACAGCTGAGTTAGCTTAGCTTAGCTAGCATCCTGTTGCTGTTTTGTTTTCTAAATATGATTTTAATACATGTATTTGTTAGCTGGCCTCGCTGTGAGTTAGAGTCACATATATAAACTATAAAAACAACAATTGTTATAAGCAACCTTAAAAGAAACAGATAAATGTGTTAATGTCAGCCTTTTTACTTAAAAGTACACATTAACTTGGTGTAAAAGCTCAAATGCTGTTATAGTTGTACTAAATAAATGCAAATGTTTCATAATTTTATCAGGACCCATTTCTTAATATCTTAATTTGACCAAAACGTTTAGAAAAAATGTTTGTTTTGTGTGTGTTTTAACCAAAAACTCATTGTAATTTTACATGACGTAAAAGGCCATAGGCTACTATTACATATTGCTTTCTAAGAAAAAACACAGTATATAAGTTGTACAATCACACTCCTATACAACCACTTTTCTAGGAATATCACTATAAACAGGAAATACTGTATCATATTTATACCAAGCACGTTGACGGTGGTGGTAGATAATGTATACTATATCACATAATGTTTTCTTGTCCATTATGTCTTACGGATAAAGTATTGACAGTTTTGTTTCTCAGTGCTTATTCAACATTTAAAAAAATGCATTACTACCACATGTCCCTTGTGCATCAGAGTACAAAATATGTCTGTATGTGAGTCCATACAGCATTTTTTTAGGACTGCTGTCAGGAGAAGTGGACGTAAAAACTCTTAGATTGCGAATTTTGGAACAAGACTAGAAGTTGTTGAGGGAAAAGTTGACTAAATGTTATCCTTTTTTCCCACAATATCATCATATTGAGTCCTACCTCCAACTACAAAAAGTTTAAAGAGGTTACAGTATGTCCACTGTTTTTCTATATAACATTATAGCCTACATTTATACTACATCGTCACTACATTTGTCTATATTTTCATTCTAAAATGGAGCAGCTGTAACCCAATTTCCCCAGGGGATAAAGAAAGTATTTCTGATTGTGAGGTACTACTTTTAGATTGTTTTATTACATTTTTTTTTGTTCAGATGGCTGTTTCCACTCATTGGCCACATGGGAATCTGCACTTCCACCGGGGTCATCCGGGACTTTGCAGGACCGTACTTTGTCTCCGTGAGTAATGACTGTGCTGCTGCAGAGCGTTATGGCCTGTATGTGAAATGAGGTACAAGGGGCTCTATATTAACACAATGTATTTCAGATAAGACAATAAGTATAAGCTTTTATAATAATAATGGCTTTAATTTATAAAGCACTTCATATTTGCATTCAAATCCCGAAGTGCTAACATCGTAAAAAGAATAAAAAGCAATAAATAAAAATAAATAAGTAAAAAGAATAAAATAAGATAAAAGGGTGATAATAAGTAAATAAAAGGTCTAGGGAAAGGCTCTATTGAAGAGGTGGGTTTTGAGGCCTTTTTTAAAAACCTCCACGGTCTGTGATGCTCTCATGTGGAAGTACGAGACGTAATAATAAATACCGACTACGTCGTGTTAACCAAAACTGATCACAAAAAAGGTGGTACTAAAACTGTTGTTAAACTCAAACTTTGTATGACTTTTTATGTCTGTCCCGAACTTCAAGGAAACTATTTATACGATAGGAACAAAAAGGTCAACGTATGAAAGTCCCGAGACATGTTGATTTTTTCCCCGCTACTAACGAATTGTGAACAACCTGGTCATAAATTTGATTCCGATATAATATTTTTGAGGAAGAGAGTGGCAGTCCTTGTAGCGGTTAGAGGCGGGGAGTGAGTGAGACCAACTCGCCTTTTCACAGTCGGAAAACAAGGAGTTCCGGACACTGAGACGTAACGTGAGTGAGTAGGCCCTAGCGGATCTTTCGTAGGCTCCGAGGTCATGTAGGTCTGTCGCGACGATCCTAGGACTACTCCGACGCGTTATACCATATATAGGGGGGTGGACTTTTTTTTTTTTTTTATAGTGAGTGACCGAGCACCTTAACTCCTAGCTAAGTTCCAGACAGGATGTGTGGTCACATAGGATACCATGTCGGGGAGGATGAAGTTCCATGAGGGAGTGGGGGGAATGAGGCAGCCTGGTGGCGAGGGGGCGGTTAGTTTGGAGGAAGTTTGGGGCTCCGATCGAGGCATGTACCCTCTGCCCGGAAGACGAGCCGACGGTGGTCCAGACACCTT